TGTTTTTATATTCTCTAGAAATGCTGAAAATCAATTTTACAATGTCGTGATTTTCGGTGGATTTTGAGGTATTGCTCGCGTGTTTCGATGCATTAAGGTGGACCCCATAAGCAGCTTGATTCCGCTTCTATTGAGAAGTAATTGAGTTTCAAAAACATGCAGTAATCACTCAGCAATGATTCACTGAACAAAAGAAAACGACTTTTTTTTCGAAAGAATGGTTCTTTGTTGCTGTTGAGAACTCATTTTCTTTGATTTGCGCCATTATGTCTGAAAGAGTGGAACAATCCACTTCATTCAACGTCGTATTGAATTCTAAAGAGTTGCGAGGACAAGGAATGGGACCTTCCTAGATGCGCCTAATGTGTTCATTCTTACATTCCAGACGATTTTTCCTTCATAGAATCGTCTCAATTTGATTGCCACTGCACACCTCTTAATTCGATGCCGTTGAAGACATTTTCTTGTGGTGAATGAACACTAAAAAGTATGTGATCGCATGACTTATTATTATAAGCAGAGGCATGTTCTACATTCACGTTATGGAATTACGACCCACAAAATCACTTGTTCTAGTACTCGATACATACGATATGCACACATATCCTACACCATATAACAATAATTTATTTTCTTCTTTTTTTATTTTAACCTCCCAACGGTTCATCGCCTCCGTGGCTGGGTGTTCCTGGGTGTCGAGCTGCGATGTACAGAGGAAGATTCATTCCCCGGCAGGGTCTCCCTAGCTGAGAAGGAGTCCGGCGTTTCCATCAGAAAGCCTAGCTAAGAGTAAACCAATATCAGGATCCACCACTGTCCTGGTATAAAAGTCGCATTGTGGCAAATCTCCCTCTGATCCACAAGGGCTGCGAGTGCCTGTGGTGGTGACGACCTGGAGCAGACTTCGTCCTGGCTGACCTCGGGACTTCAAAGAACCACAATGGCTAAACCAACAAAAAACCGAAAAATGGTGATTATGCTGGGGTTTGCACGACTAGTGAGGACGGACCGTTCAAATATCAAGTATCAAGTAATATTCTGTTTAATGTTTCGAGGCTCTTCCCGCACCAGTGGCTCAGCAAGCCTTCCATCCCTCTGTTGTCGGCAAATTAGTACCATGCCTGTCTAGAAGGATAACAGCAGTGGCTCGATACACTGGTAGGCTACTGATAGTCATTGTAAAGACCAACTATGGATTCAATCACCTCCAACGATTAGTGAAGTCCTATGCATGGTGCATAACTCAAGGATTGATCAACGCCGAGAGGTTTATCCTTTACCCTTTATTAATGGTTCGAGGCACAAGAAAACATGAAAAGCAAGTAGACTATAATTTTTTCCTTTCATCGTCTTTTCGACATTTGTGTGCAATTCCTGCACAGCTAGTTCACTAGTGTTGAGCTGCTGTCCTTTGCCGTCAAGAGCCATCTTCCCACTCTGATTTACTCTAAATTCAGTATTTGGTGGATATGACGGGTCGTGGATACGCAGATACTTGTGGAAAAAGTTTAGCAGCAGCCGTGGACGACAGGAGGTGGCCAGAATGGGCTGATGAGGATGTCGCGAAAGCCTATCAGTATGCGTTTCTACTTTCCTACTGAAAAGCTTCGCTACTTTCTTTCGTTTATCCAAAAACATTGTTGCGTTTATTATCTTCACAGAAATTTGTATATCCGCTTTAGCAATTTCTGTCACTTCTACAATTACCTTTGAAGGTTTGTTTAGGTTCTACCTCCTGCGAACAATGGACTTTGGCGTTTCGAACCATGAGTTGCAGAATTTCATTAACAAAGTAATCGAAAGCAAACATTCAAAAAAGGAAGGGTACTTCTACTAACATTCCGAACACCTGTTTTTTCTTTCCTATCTGATCGGTTTTCTTGGCCTTCTTACTCATACTATTCCATTACAGTTGATTACGAAACTTTGATGACTCTTTAGGAAGTTTAGACTAGGAAAGGATCACTTCGCTCTAAATTAAGAACTCTACCTAGCGTCAAATATGGGCGGTTATTGATTTTTTCGAATGTTCTATATAAAGTTTTTTTTCAAATTTTTTAATCCAGCTAATTTCAGGCTGCACAGACATTCTACTGTGAGTCCATCCTTCATGGAGTGGTGTCTCATGTAGATGAAAACCTAACAACCACATGTCATCTTATGTATCCAGACCATTTTGCTCGAAAACAAATAGCCAAGGCTAATGAAATCTTACAGAAGGAAATGGGTGAGTAGCAGCTAGTAATCCGCTGCTCCAGTTACGTGTACTTATCTCAAGCATATTAAAATTATAAGTGTATGGTGTGAAATAGTACTAAGGTACAAAGTCATAAAAAGTCCTTTCAAATAACAAAGGTCCGTGATGGAAGCACAGCGTTGCTGTATTCTAGAGGTGTCGTGCTTAAATGGATTTCGTTAGCATGTAAATATGATTCACTGTACTAAAAACTTTCGAAATCCTGTATACTCCGACGGTTCTTTTCTCTACCGATGAGGATGATTCGACTAAAGCTTCTAGGAAGAGATGGCAGTTGGACTACACAACGTTTCGAAAGACGGACTCTCAACAAACCTGGAATGCATATTGTATTACATTATACGCCGTATTTTATGTTTTGCATTGTGGGCCGGGGTTAGCACAGTGCTTAGCGAAGCCGTCAATTAGGAAACAAAAGCCCTAGTTCGATCCGCGCCCCGAAACTCTCCGCCTCTCTCCAACAGTGCAAAGAGAATCGACTCGACCAGCATTTTACGACATCCATAAAGAAAACAAAATCCTCACTCAAGCAGCAGCCTAAACAACACGCGAAATTTTCGAAGACTTTTGCGGACGAAGAATGCGAGGAAAACGAATCGAATGCAGGAAGTGCTGAGATCCGCACAGCAGATGTGGTGACGGATTATATAAAATAAAAGTAGAAAATAAAAAAGCAAAAGAGTGAGAGACAGGCTAAACGAAAGACCCGCATGGTGTGGTGGTGAACGCGTTACCTCCCGGAAAGGACAATAAGCGCGTCCGTTCCCCACCGGAGACATCTGCGGTCCGGAGTTTTACAAATATCTCAGCATTATACGAGAAAAGCAAAAGAGTTTATTTTGCAGAGAATATTTGCCTTGTAATATTATTAATGCACTTTACAGCAAAAAACATATTTTTTTTGCTATCTGTTACAGAATTGGAACTAAGCTGTAAGAACGTGGAACAGTGAAACACCAAATTTCGCAGCTATTCAGGAAGATTCATATGATGTGATAATTTTCCCCATTGAGATTTAGCAGAACACTGGAAGCTTATGGGTGAGCTCGTGGACGAGATGGAAGCGGTCTATCTTACTGAGCGACAATTCATCGACGTCCGAAATCGAATAAAATACAGGATTTCTGAAGGTAAACCTGAATTGTTTCCGTCTGTAACGAATCTAACCATTTGTTCTACGAGTTGTCGCCTTAGGTACTTAGTGCACAGACCACAAGCCGTTACCACTGTTCATATTCATGGACTTCGGCCAGTGTAGCCTAAACAACCGCTTCTGAAATAAAATCTACGTTAACCGTGCAAAGTTTTATAAAACACAACGGATAAATTTATTAAGTTTCACTCGAATAAGTGGATGTTTATCGACTTTCCTTTCTATAGTTAGTTCAACATAAGAAGCTTAGATTAGAGACGCCTAGTTCTGATAAAAAACCAAAGGAAAAAGTCCTTTTGGATTCGGCATTCTTCGTCTTTTTAGCGCCCTTAATTGCTGGTTGTGGTTTTTCACTATAACTAGCTTTACTTTGTTATTCAAGAATACTTCTAAAGAATTGAACGCGAGGCATTCGAGTCGATGTCGTATGAACGTCGAACAGACATAAGAAGGTAAATTGCTTCTAATCATAGCATGCCGAGATCGTTACGATTCGTACTGGCCTTGGTCCGCAGCTTCTCTCTATTTCCCTATACTTAACTGTTCTACGACACGGCAACTGTCACCTCAGGAGCTTTGCGGTTTACTGAGTCGTTGATGAACAACATTTCGGACACATGTCGAGCATCATTCACGACCATTACAGAAAGCGGAGACAGGTTGCTGAAGTATTTCGAAAGCATGAACGAGCTTCTATTGCATGACGGACATCAACATCACAATAACGTCTCGTCGATTGGCGCTGGTGGGTGAATATGCATTCACGATATGTAAAAATGAAACACATTTTCTCTTCATTGACCCTAGCTTGTGGCAAATGTGCATTATACTAATCTAATTCTACCGCGTTCCATTTTCTAAACTTATTTCAAAAAAATGCAGTGCCACCATTAACCTTTTATTTTGTGTCTATTTTAATTTTTCATGGCAGGATATGATGTGAAATACAACCGCAACGATGCTGAGATATTCGCAAAATTTGGACCCGGTTCCAGACTGAACTCGCGCCTTACATACTGCGCCACGATTTGTGCTCTTCAGATCAATTCCGCTGATGGATGATTGCTGATCGCAGCGTTAAGTGGGAAACTACCTGAGAGAAACGCAGAGCAAGGATCTTAGTGGTCCAGTGTGTAGCGCGCGAGTCCGCCGAAGGAGAAATCGGCTCGATCTGGCTCGGTGTCCAAGTTTTGCGAATATCTCAGCATCGTTGGGGTTGTCCGCAGAATGCTGCTCAGTAAAGTAATTACCAGGACTGACTTTCTGCTAACTTCGGCACTGATCAATAGATTAATGTTTTTTTCCTGAGCAGAAAAAACTACAGCTGCTCAAGAAAAAAAACACTAGTCTGTTGTCTAATTGTCTAATCAGAAAATGAGAGAAACACTAATCTCTTCTCCACTGTTGTTATTTTAGCAATGAACTTATTGCCAACATCATCAGCGGAGCAGCACACCTCCAGAACGAAGAGCTTTGTTGCAGCGGAGAGAAACACGAACCGTTCAAAAGCGGATATTGTGGACAAATTCGTGGCACCTATGCAGTTCTCTCCACGTTCGCAGAGTTCATATATCATTCTCCGACTTTCAATTCTTGGTCTTTTATGGTCCTTTTGTTGAATTTTAGACGTTGTATTGACGGTTTAGTTGAACGAGAGTTTCCTTCCATATTATCAGTTGCTCTCATGCGCATGGTTTTANAGTTCTCATGCAATGCCGTTGATTGCCTTTTCATCTCTACAGTTATAATTCAAACTGTACAAAGATTTTGCACCAATTCGTACGTTAACATATTCACGCGATAGCATGCATTGGTTTCAATGCGTTTCGTGCGAAATTGTTGGCAGATTGTAATTTCAACCAACATATCTCGTAATTGAGACGGAAATCAAGACTGCTTACGGATCTTTGAATCCAGGTAGAAGTCCTTTTGTACTATCAGTATAAAATTCTGTTTCTCTGAAACTCTGAAAACTGATTTCTTTTTTTTTTCGTTCAGACTTGTTCTTCTATCATAAAAGCAAGTGGCAAGCGAAAATATGACCACGAAGAGGTGATGGTGTTCTCAAACATATCACCCATGTGAAAATATAAAAGTCGTTCCGAAATTTTTGAAAACTTGAGGACTATACAAATTTAATACTACAATAATGTTTCAGAAAAGTTGTCAAAACCGCTAAGGCAACGAAACAGTCTTTTCCATCAGTCCGATCAGCTCTCAATTTCCGAAATTCCCCAGTTACTGACAACTAACCATTAGTTGACGAAAATCGTGCCTGGTCACGAATGTGTTGATGTGGTTATTCTATGGCGCCTTTCCTCACAAGTCCCTGTAGATTCCCTTGCTTATACAACTTCATGATCTGCTTCGTAGTTTTCTCTCCAGATTTTGTTATTAAAACTCCAACTAGGTATCATACTTCTTAATAGTGGCGAAAATTGGTTAACAAGTCTACTGAGTAAAGCAGCACTCGAGTTCCTAACTCGTTTAAATTACAGTCATTCACACATACACTATGAAAGGTAAATAAAGCACAAACCGGTTGACGTTCACTAATCTCTGAAGAATGTCTCATGTATTCGACTTCATCAAGAATCGCTAGATGTGATTGGAAGCATATTCGACATTTACAATGAATTATGGTAACCGATCGATGTGTTAAGTTGGTGTTTCTATCCTCCCAGAAGAGTTTTGTAGCAATTTAGCGACCGCAAGGAAATGAAAAGCCTAATGGACTCCTTGACTAGAGATCGACGCAGTGATCGAATCAGTGTGAGCCGCATTTTACCTCTATCCATCGTGCTAGACTAAGCTTTTTAGGTATGCAGGCCCTAAACATACACCATAAATTTGATAGTCATTACTTGGTTTAAATATCCGTTGCATACCTGAAAAGCTGAATCTTTTCAGAACTAGGTGACTTTATCAAATCGAAAGTCTCCACTGTGCAAAGCACTTTGACACCTTAGAATCTTCGTTCGCCTCATCGAAGTTCTTTACGGCAGCCTTGATCCCACCACATATAGAGGACGGCCTTTGGAGGAGAACATTGGGTGGGTCAGTGTTGATTTACAGGTTTATTACATTAAGTGCTGGAGCTTCAGGAAGGCATAAAAGCACTGTTAACGAAGATCAAATGAGTCAACATAGAATAAATAATGTCCTTGAAGAGACTGAACGAAGATAATGTGTCATCGTGTTAGGAGCGCGTGACTTTCCCTGACGGCACTCACTTACAATGATATTTATGCCTATGTTTCTCGTCATCTGAACCTATTTCTAAAGCATCTTTGTATGCAGTAGCAAGTAGTTTGCATAAACTTGAAGATATACTCCGTAACAAAACTAGAGCTCAAGCACTAGGTGGGAGTGAACAACAAAAATTAGAGGTATTACCACTACCGCCGTCTGCTTAGATATTTTTTTCAGACCACAAGACCTTACCCTAACAATTAAGTTGATTCGAATTTCGGATATTTGCGGATGAAACTTCCAAAGGCCTTAATTATCAACGCGATTGGTCTTTTCGGTCGGAGTCATCAGGGAATCTTTTGCTACAAGTTCACAGAAAGGAAAAAATGTGCTGTGCAAACGGTTTGAGAGCTGAAAACGTTAAAAAACATTATATTGTCTGTAATCGATAAAGGTGAAGAATTTATAGAAACTCCTCATCAGTTAGATGTTGAGATAACGGAAAAACGTCTGGAAGATGCTACCATTTATAGTCATCATCTGAAAAATAATTCAAAAGCCAATACCGATAATTGAGCAACGGATGGGTCAAAATGGCGAAGGCTGCCATTTTAAAACAACCAATCATTTCTCAACTTAAAGTTAACAAAACTCATAGATTAGAACCCACTGATGATTTTGCGTTTACCGACACATCATTGTTCAAAGTTGGACCCATCATTAACAGTGTAAACTGAGTAAAGGATAGAATTATATGGTTTTAGCCCTAAAACTTAACTAGTTGTTGGAACATGTTTCAGCCCATCTTACGAACACCCAGATGTTCCTGGATCGTCTACGTAGCGAACGTCCTAACAGATCTTGCGTGATGGAGTGCTTTCGATGTTACTGCATTTTATAAAAATGTGTCAAATAACTCACTCTACCATGCAAACAACCTTCGAACTCCTTATGCAGCATGAAGTGGCAATAAACACCTATAGACACTTAATTCAACACTTAATGACCTTTATGAAGAAACGCCTAAAGTGCTCAGTCTTTGGATGATCCGGCAAGTAATACGAACAAATGGAGGGTTCGGAGTGGGAATACGACTGGCCCCAGGCCTTCTGCTTGCCCTTTAAAGTTGAAGCAGCAGTAGTCGATCTCTGGCTCTAAATATAATGTATGAATGACTTATGATATGATTGTTTTGCCATCTGCTCCACATAAGAGGAGATGGACAAATACTTTGAGTTATTGAACGAATAGTCAGAGCACATAAAATTCACCCGTGAGAAACCGAAAAAAAATTAGCTTTCATTCCTGAACGTTCAAATTAACCTGCCCGAAAACGACCATGTCACCAATGGTAACAACAGCCAAGTAACAAAGACATAGTCATTCATTAACTCTCATCTCACCCGTCATAAAGAGAAAGAACGCTTGTGAAAAACATTTTCCGAATAGCCACCACTGTGATGGACAGGGGGAGAGCAAAATAAAAAGGATAAAGCTCTCGGCACTGGTCAATCTTTCAAGGAAGCGTCATGCCTTCGACTTCAATAGGGACCTCTGGAGGTAGTTGAATGCATTACTGGCCTTTACAATGATTCGTGGTGGGCGAACGACGTATCGAGCAAGTGCTGCAACCCCGCAGAGAAGTCTGGCACCAATTTCGCGACACCGGAGGGAAGGAAGGAGTTTTTGTTTCGCGAAGATTGGAAATTAGATACAAACCATGTACGCCGCAATGCACATTGTGTACAACATCATTGCAGGATTTGCAAAGAAAAAACAAACCTATTGGGGGTCTTATCCAAAAAGGCAATCCCAGGTAGGACCTTCTCTTCCAATTTCTCCAACAAATTAATAGTTAGTCATTATCTCTTTTAAAACTGTTCCTTGGAAAAACACACCTCTAGTGAAGTTGTTCCTGAGTTACTTTCTTGATAGCGTCATAGTTTTCAGGCTGGTCCACGGTTAAGTGGTTCAAAAATGCCCGCAGTTATAGCTTGTTGATAAGTCAAAGTGTCAGACGAACGACTTCGATAATGCTCTCTACACCGAGCAGGAAACCCTAGAGTACCACAAAACAACAGCATTCCAACTCTACTACATTAGGTGAAGAGAACCAAACACAAATTAAACGGCTAGTCACGGTTAGGAAGCTATTAAATGAAGGAACCAAAACTCCGTCAAGCGAATACAACTTACTATTCCCGGCATATAGTGGATGAGGCAGAACCAGATGTTCAACTATAACGTGCTTCTGCTTTGCCATATTAACAGAATGTTCTTCCTTCTTTTTTAAAAGAGTCGGAGAGTCCTGATGTAACTTCTTCACTGTCGCCTGAAATCTCTTAGCATCACAATCCACATTCATATTCGCACATGCACAGATCAAAACTAGCTACGAATTGGGAAAGAAAAAAGATGGTATGTAGCAAAAAGTGGACTGTTGAAAAATACGCCGGGCAGAAAGCAAAATAAAAAAATTTAAGAGTTCACCAGATATGATATAGTAAGGCTATTTGCACTCATCTTTTGAACATATCGTTTTTTCGCAGAGGCCATATATAATATTGGTTGTACAAACTTAGCGCAAAGGGCTAAGTTCGACTGATGGTTGAAGTAAAAAAGCTCTAAAAAGCTCTCGGCGTTGATGAATTCCCGAGCGATCCGCCATGCATTCGATTTCATTAAGCATCGTTGGAGGTGAACGAATGCATATCTGGCCTTTGCAATGACTCGCGTGTGGCCTACGACCCAGTGCTGCTATCCTCCCAGACAAGTCTGGTACCAATTTGCTGACCCCGGAGGGATAGAGGACTGGTGAGTCATGTGCGCGTGATCGATTCCACGTATTTGTCGCAGTGGCGCCTCCAACCACGTGGAGTTGAAGGTTGAAGTAAACGAACCTAATATGCATACCGATTGTCACTCGCACAAAACAAACATAAAAATTAGAAGCAAGGAGAAAATTATCTGGAGATAGTAGGCCATCACTTGATGGAGATCTGCTATGTTCGTCTTGAACGAAGTTTATTCTGCGCTTTGACGTCTATCCGCGTCGTGATTTCTCCTTGGTCTCTCCTTTTCAATAGATGGCTTTTGTAACTATTTTTCATAGTAGCAAAAAATAATGAATAACGAAGGATACGCATAAACTGGAGAAATTATGAAAGTATCAGAACTCCAATTTGGAAACTACTGATGAAGAGCGCGACAAAGATTACCCGAGCACATGTAAGTACTACTTGGTCTCCTACGACATGGGAAAGACGACACTGATAGCTTCTTTTTCATCGCTTATTCAGTAAAGTGTCATCACCTTTCGAGCTTAACCAAGGTTTCGAAGAGTTCAGGAATCCTATCAATTCGAAGGGTGCATTAATATAAGTAACGTGAAGATCTTTTACATACCTTAACCACTTTCTCACTGGGTTCCTTCTAAATATCACGTTCAAATGCTTCTTGCGGAAGTCGATAGGTTATGGTTGTTGATCATCCACTTCGTGAAAGGCGTCCGATCGCTGACAAATTCCTGGCTCAGGATCGAAAATCGTGACGTCAGATTGTCGAGAAGGCCGAGCAGATTTTCTCTGTTTTTTCTTTCTAAAAAGTTCTATTTTCCCAAATATATGTGGCCAGAGGCACGTGTGGTGCAGTGATTGGAAGCATCACTGCGACACACATGTGGAATTGATCCCTGCGCCCATAGCCCGGCAAGCCTTCCATCCCTCTTGGATCGGTAAATTGGTACCAGGCTTGTCTGGGAGGATAGCAGCACTGGCTCGACACATCGTTAGGCTACCGCGAGTCATTTTAAAGGCCAGATATGCATTCAATCACTTCCGAGCGATGCTTAATAAATTCGAATGCATGGCGCATCTCTCAGGGATTGATCAACGCCGAGGAATCTATCCTTTATTTTTTTATTCATGCTGCAAGAAACGATGAAACAACCTAACAACGGCAAAGTCCTTGATCAGCTCGTGCGAACCTCAGAATTTTGGAAAACTTTGGAAATGGATGCGCTTGCAATTTTCGTCGTTACACCTAGAATTGACCCAAAAGTCATTACATATAGCTCAAGCAAGGACAGACTTCTGAAGAAGTGATTATACTTCATCATCAGAATGACTGCTATCTACCGTTGACTGACTGCTGTGAGGAACCGTAACACATTGCTGATGGAGACGCCTACAAAAGTCCACCACGGCAGTTTCTTTGAAGGGAGAGATAAGGCCGCTCTCCTAAAGCGAGTTAAAGACATCTATAGGATCTATTAAACAGTATCAACAATGTGAATTCCTATTCCTTTAAGGTTTTGTAAGAAATACTTGATTTTAGGCAGTAAAATGATCATTTTACTTCAGCAGTATTCGTCTACTCTCAAAATGTTGATTATTTAATACCACCGATTAAGTATGAAAACGACACACTAGAAACAAAGAACACTCCTCACTCACCAGACCAGTGCAAACTTGTCATCTTTGTTCATTGAGAAGACCATCGCGAACAACATAAACTACAGAACTACATAACACGTTGGTGTTGACAGTGTTGACTAAGTAGGAGCTCTTGCTTAAAACTGTTTTAAGAGTAGACAACATAGCAAGGAAGATGCTGCATTTTAACAAGCGAGAAGGTCACGACAAAAATTTCAGTTGGAATACTGTAGTATCGTGTGAATACTGGACACGTGATTTTGCCTATGTTTGCTTAGGAAAGCTATTCAGTTAGATCGTGAGACAGTGAAAGTTCCTGAAAGACAAGAAACCATGGACCAGAAAATAGCCCTAAAAATAAAAAGCGCTATGTTTTAAGCTCATTCTTCAAAAGTGTTCAAGCGAATGAGACGAGAATATATAGTGGAGAAAGGCAAGCAGAGAAATTTTGAAAACCAGTGGGAAAAATTTGGGCAAGTTAAATTTCTTTCCCACCTACCTAGTCGCATTCATTAAAATGCAAGGAAATGTCCACAATTATGGGGTTTTCGCTCCTTTTGGTTAGGAAAATACTGCAAGACCGAATGAAGAGTTGTCAAACCAGTAAAAGAAACTACCCGATGTCGACAAGTTGACGCTCAGCTCACCTGACCAGATGGACGCGAAACCTCGTTGGCACTGCCAAACAACGGGAATATCCAGGTGAGTGCCGCAGTCAGGTCATTGTAGTATAGTAGGGAGAATATTCGCCAGTTCGTTTTGACAACATTGACTTAGCAAGGCTGTTGAACACAAACACTTGTGAGAGAGAAGAGCTCTGTAGTGGGAATTCTTCATTTTTAAAGAACAAAAAAATCAAGATAGAAGTCCCAGATAGATTAGTTTAATATCATTTGAGTATTGGGTAGTTCAATTCAGCTATGTCTGATTATCAAGTCTATTTCTTTCGAACAAGTGCTAGTGAGCGTTCATATAGGATAAGAGACTATGAGATGGAGAATGGTCCTATAGAAATTGACCATGCAAAGTTCTTGGGTTCTAGAAGGCGTACTTCAATAATCAATACCCATTAGACGGGCGGACCAATGAGACAAGTATGGAAGTGAACAAGGTAGAAAAATTTCCAATATTAATCTGTTTGTAGAAATTGGAGTAGCAGTCTAAATTCTTGTTCAACTTTTCAAGGAAATCAATAGCACAGTTTAAAACTGGTCACCTTTCTTCCATTTCATTTTAGTACCGTTCATTACTCAATTGGAATCTCATTCCACTCGCTATTGGAGCTGACAATAACCAAGATTTGTAGTGTCCCTGGACCATTGGTCATAGTTGAAGGAGAATAGTAAAGCTGAAGTCACAACCTTCTTGAGCAGGTGGTCACTGTTGTACTGCAAGAACCATACTAGGAAAGCGGCCTTTCCTTCGAGCCACTAGAGTCGACAATCAATAATGAAAGGGATCCTAGGACAAAACTCCTAAACGACACCCACTCCTAATCCATTTCATTGGTGACGATTGCTACAGAACGAGCCAAATGTAAGAAGAATGGTGAGGCGTTTTTTCTCATTTATCTACAAGAAATCCTGCCTGATAAGTCAAAAGAGGGGAAACAACCACCACACGGAATAATCACCGTAAACGGGAAGCAACGAGAAAACTTCGAGATGCGAATATAGCAGGCTGGCCCACGTACGTCTTCAGTGCAAGAATTCATAGAGTTTAAATGTCATTTGAGACCTCGCACGCCGTCCCAGTCACCGCTAGTACGCAGTTGCATGCAGCGGTGAGTCCCACCGATTGATACTCGATATAAAGTCTTTCTGACTGACTAGAACTCACACTACTAAATGTTAACTGTGGCAGCGACATACCCAGACGACAACTCACCACCCGGCAACACTACCACAGAGATCAGGATGCTACATATTTATTAACCAATCAGTAAAAAAATACAATTTTTTGTACGAAGTATGTCAAAATGGGCTTACACAAGACTTCAGAAACAATAACCAACAACTTTCTACATGATTGAGCTGGAACAAGGTTGGTATAAAACTTTCATTCGGCTAACGCTCCAGCGTTCTCGTCTTCTCAAGAGAACGCATTGATCCGAGTCGATGGTCTACAGGTGATCGATATCGCGATGGGGGTGTTTGTTGTCGAATCGAGTCGAATCCAGTAATAGGAGCACTACTCGAACGGGGAAGATCGCTAAGACCCGTCCTCTATAAAGGGGAACCGCCGAGTGAAGTTCTCCGCTCAGACAATGCTCCTTGCAGTGGACTCGACTCCATGCGACAACGAACATCCACAACGCGACGACCAGCTGTTGACTACCGGCTCGAACTAATACAGCCGAGAAGAAGGCGAGAACGCTGAAACGTTAGCCGAATAAGAGCTTTTCACCAACCTCGTATCAGTTCGATCCTACTAAGCGCTAGGAGCTGACAAATCTACTACCCAACCGTCTTCGTCTTCGAACCCAAACCCCTTGGCTTCCTGGCTCTCGACTTGGTAGCTTTGCTCTTGAACTTCTCGGTAGTCTCAGATTTGGGAGCTTTGACCTCTTTCAAATTCCTGACCTTCTTTTCTGCTTTAGGCTTCTTCGCCGCTGCTTTGGTAGAGTTGTGTTTTCTGCTGGCCAGTTTCCCGACGACATGCTGAAATTGAGACCTCGATACCATTATTCCACTCATGCTCCACAAGAAAATGTGGTGAACATTCGCTACCTACCTTTTTAGCAACAAGTGTAGACATCTTTTCACCAAGCCCGTAGCTTCCAGATGCCTCGTTTCCTTCGACCTGCTTCAGCTCAGGTTCCATGACAGCCTCTCCAGGTGGAAAGCGTAGCAGAGAGCTAATCTGCAAGAAACCACGTCTCAAAGAGTCAACATGAAAACATGACAAAGGCGTTAAAAAAATCACCATAGCCACAATGTCCTCAAGACTGTAGCGCGACAGTATGAACCTCAGAATGGCCACCTCCAACGACCGAAACTTCTGTCGTAACTCATCCATCAAGCTCCGGATCATGGCCAAGTGGCTGGATTGGGACCGGGTCTCCTCGGCTGTCTTCCGCTTCGGAGTCTTGGCGGCCTCACGGGAAGAACCAGCGGCATGGGCTGACATAACGAGTCAGCTGTAGCGCTAAACAACGAGCGGGCGATCGCTTGCTGCCATCACTTATCTACCATGCAGAGTTCCCCCTCCGCGCCTCCAGCGCAGGCGGCCCCACCGCGGACCTAAGTTGCGCGACACTGTGTTATGTAGCACTCGAAAAAAGCTCTATAAAAATGGACTCTTTGCATTACACGTTGTGAAACTTGTAGTATGAATAGAAGGCGTAATTATCTAATGGAATACAAGGTATTTAAGGCTATCCTACTCGCTAAGAAGAGTTCACATGGGTTTACGTGCAACGAGCGAGTCGTGGTTTCATGTAGTGACAGTTTGGTGGAAAAAATTCTCGTTATTAAGGGATTAAACAATAGGACGACCATAGCACTTTTAAATCAAATCGTTTTAGCACAGAATTATGGTAAAAATTGTATGGCTTTCGAAATTATACAGAAAGGCGTTACAATGGTAATAGCTGAGGAGAACACGAGCGGGAAAACCAATGTAACCAAAAACTCGTTATTCGTTTTGGATTGGTCTCATATTGGCTTTGAATTATAACGAAGGTGCGGTTATATAGCAATCGCCGAAAGTTGTTAAGTGTTTGAACTCGTTCCCATTCCGGATGCTCAAACCACGTGAACTTTCCTTATGCGCTGAATACGTTGCGAGCAGAAAAGTATACATTTTCAGACTAATTTTACGGAAATCGTCTCGATTTGAGTTCGTAAGCCAGTCTGCTTTTCATAAAAACAGTCGTAGAAAATAAAGCTTACTTTACTTACTTGATACTTGAATGGCACATCCTCACTGGTTGTGTGGGCCTCAGCATAATCTCCACTTTTCGGAAATTTGCTGAGTAAACCATAGTGGTTCGGCGGAATCTCGAGGTCAGCTTGGACAAAGTCAGCCTCAGGTCTTCGACACCACAGGCATTCGCAGCCCTTATGGATCAGAGGGAGATTTGCCACCATGCGACTTTGATACCAGGACGGTGGTATATCCTGGTATTGGTTTACTCTTATCTGGGCTTCCTGATGGAAACATCAGATTCCTTTTCAGCTTGCGAGACCCGTCTGAGCGATGAATCCACCGCTGCACATCACAGCCCCACACTCAGGAACACCTCTCAGCCAAGATGAGGCGGTAAAGCGTTGGGAAGGATCAGGCAATTAATCAATCAAAACCTTACAACATTTCTGAAAGGTTTGTGGTGAAAATGCATTTGACTAAATATGTATGCTTGCTGTGAAGTTTACATTTTTCCCTTAACTTCAATTCCGACCGACGCCTAGAAATAGCTTGATAGCAGTACGGGCTTATGCAGCGTGTTGGTTAGTTTTTTTTTTTTTTAAGGTTTTGGAAGTTCGCTTTTTCAATTTAACCGATTGTACTCCTTTCCGAAAGGAACGAAGTCTTGTGCAATGAAGGAGTGGTCTGATCCCATGTAGTATTTTGAGGCAACAACGACATCGGTTAGTCAAAACCTTTGATTTACTCTGATGTATTTTATTATTTTATTTTATTTATTTCATTTATGTTATTTCTTATTAGATTATTAGATTGTTATTATTTGTTATTATTAGATTATTAAGCGAAATACAACCAGCTGAGAGACGTGCGAAACAAAGGACCCGCATGGTGTGGTGGTGAACGCGTTACTCCCCGGAAAGGATAATAGCGCGTTCGTTCCCCACCATAGACACCTGCGGTCCAGAGTTTTGCAAATATCTCAGCAACGTTGTGGTTGTATTTCGCTTAATAACCTGCCATGAAAATTATAGAAGGCAGAAAACAAAACGTTAAACATTATTAGATTGTCAAAGCCGGTACTGATCCGCATCTCTTCAATCGTAAACTTCCGATTCGGGTTGTTAGTTGTTCGAATAAATCGNAATACCCTGCCATGAAAATTATAGAAGGCAGAAAACAAAACGTTAAACATTATTAGATTGTCAAAGCCGGTACTGATCCGCATCTCTTCAATCGTAAACTTCCGATTCGGGTTGTTAGTTGTTCGAATAAATCGATATTCACAGCCAGAATCGTGTTCACGAGAACGCTGACGACGCGGACTTCACTACTGTCGCATGTTGTGAGGAACAGTTCGAACAGTGTCCTCGTTGTTGCCTCAAAATACTACATGGGATCAGACCACTCCTTCATTGCACAAGACTTCGTTCCTTTCGGAAAGGAGTACAATCGGTTAAATTGAAAAAGCGAACTTCCAAAACCTTAAAAAAAAAAAAACTAACCAACACGCTGCATAAGCCCGTACTGCTATCAAGCTATTTCTAGGCGTCGGTCGGAATTGAAG